CCATTTTGTTGAGATGTGTACGGACAAGATGTTTGATGAATAATCCCATGAGATTTCATAAACAGCTGAAATGGGGAAGACAAATACTCTCGGGCATTATCACTACGAAATGTGCGAATAGAAACCTCAAATTGATTTTGAGTTTCAGCGTGGAAAGTGTGGAAAATAGAAAACAGCTCAGATCGATTTTTTATCAAAAATATCCAAGTGCACCTGGAATAATCATCAATGAAACTGACAAAGTAGCGGAATCCTAAGGTGGAACTGACCCGACTAGGACCCCAAACATCTGAATGGACTAAAGTAAAAGGTGACTCTGCTCGATTATCAAGACGCCGAGGGAAATGGGAGCGGGTATGCTTATCGAGCTGGCATGACTCACACTCTAGAGCTGACAAGTGAGATAAACCAGATACCATTTTCTGAAATTTTGACAAACTAGGATGTCCCAACCGTTTATGTAATAAATCTGGTGAATCAGTAACAGGACAAGTTGTAGAAGGAAGACAAGATGTGAGACCATGTGATTTAGCAAGGATAAGGTAATAAAGTCCGTTTGATTCACGCCGGGTACCAATGATCTGCCCCGTACTGCGTTCCTGTATAAAAATATGGTCATCAAGAAATAAAACAACGCATTTAAGTAATTTGGCTAAGCGACTAACAACTATGAAATTAAAAGGCCTATTGGGAACATAAAGGACTTAATCTAAAGGTAAAGAAGAAAGTGGGCTTGCTTGACCTATTGCAGTTGCCATGGTTTGAGACCCATTGGCCATTGTGACTTTTGGAAGAGATTGAGAATACGAAATAGTAGTGAAAAGAGATTTGTTACCAGAAATATTTACATGCTTTATACTGAAGGAACTCAATATACTCTGCTAAAGAAACCATCCGACTATTCAAAGCATCGGTTCCCATGTCGCTACAATTTGTAGTAGTATGGTTAACTTGAAATAGTGGAAATAAGTAACTCCTGTGAGAAAACTGAAGAAATAGCTTGAAAAACACTGTTTACAGCAGGAAAACAGAACACTGTTCTGTGCCAGAAACACTGTTTATGCCGGAAACACTGTAGCTTGCCGGAAACACTGTAGCTCACCGGAAAATTCCAAAGTTGTCGGAATTTGTTGTAACCGGGATGGATAGACTCGGAATTCCTTTGCGAGCAAGCTGTCCTAAAGAAATATTTTCAAAAAATGGCCAGAAAGGTCATTGTTCACGCCGGAAAAATAGAAAAGTGGCCGTAATTTGATTTGAATTAGATGGGTAGACTCGGAATTTTGAGGAGAGCACACTGTCCTGAAGAAGCTTCACGATAAAATGGCCGGAACCCTCGCCGGAAAAGTTGTTGCCGGCGCGTGGAGGAGTGTGGCGGCTTTTCTGTCGGATAAAATTTCAGGGGTTGGTAGTCGGAGGGTGATCTACCTCGTGGTGGTGTTGGTTTTAGCACAACACCGATAGAAAGTGACTTTCACTTAGACAAGCCTTAGGTCACCGGAAAAATTACACGATGACTAAGTTCTTTCTTCCCGGTTAACGCTGGAATGACGCACAACGATCTTTTCTCACTAATGCTCTGATACGATGTGAGAAGGCATGGGAGAAAATATGTTATTGATATTGGATGATAAATACAATACAAGAGGTCCCTATTTATAGCTATACACTACAAGGAGATATTACTCTTCTTTCAATGTGGGACAAGACTACACTATACATATCTATAAACTAAAAGAAACAATAATAACATGCAGCTTCTGCTTGGTCCTTATGAGGATTCAGATATTATTTAATTTTGATGTTTGTCTTTTCCATTTACTTTGTCAGTTTCTTTATCTGTTTCTCTGGATTCTTTAGGTAAAGTCTGATTTCATTTGTAATGGACAGTCTGAGCAACTCTGTTTCTTTTTTCAACTTTTCATGTACAGATATGGTTTATGGGTGAGTTTTGTCACATGCCAGCGGAATTCGATAGTGTAAGTTATTGCAGACATTTCTATGCTTCTCTGGTTAATCGGTTGTTGAGATAATTGGTATAGTATTTCCATTTTGTGAGGTCTTCTTATACCCAATTTTAGAACTATTGTGTTGTTTAGGACAAATCTCTTATCTTTCAAAAAGATTTTCTGCTGCACCTAGTTCAAAATACCATCTTACATATCTAGGATTATTTTTTTTAATTGGATCACATTTGTATTCGGTCATTGAAAAGCTTTATATATTTTTACATCACACAATTTTGATTTAGCCAATACTATGTGTGAAGAAAGAGAGAAGAATATTCTGAGAGTGAATTGTTTGATCTCTCTCAAGTTAGTGCGGATTACATGGTGTTTACAAGAAATTACAGCTCTATTATCAGCCCTATAATCTTGCTAAATTATATAACTATAGGATAAGGGATCCTTTTTATGTTTACAAATTCTTAGTAATCTTCTTCAAGTTGGAGCATCCATATTGTGCTCCTAACTCGTAGCAAATGTAAAATTGATCCTAAAGTTCCGAATGATTTTATAAGAATATCTGCTAAGTGCCCCATTTGAATTGACAAAGTGATAAGTGGTATTTTGTTAGATAAAGTGACAGTCTATTTCAATGTAGCTTGCTTTTCTAGTGAACAAGATACCTATTATAGGTGTCAAAAATAATATGCATATTACATTGTCTAATGCAGTACATGAACACTTGTTTAAATTCTAACATTCTAGTACTAACACTTGGATTTTCTTAGGGAAGTATTGGGAAGTTCTGTGTGGTGATTGAGAGTATTTTGGTTTTAATTTCATTTATCTTACCAGGTGGCGGGTGCAGTTTTAGAAAATTGTGAAGGCCCTAAGGAGAAGCTGGATCCCAATAATGATAATCAAGATAAGCAGAATCATGGAGTCCAACTGGCTTCTTCTGGTGAACACCAGATGTCGTCATCCTCCGATGAATTGAGAAGGGCTACTTCTTGGAGGAATATAGTAACAGACAGAGGCCTTAGTGTAACTGGGTAATTCCTCTTTCCATGGTCTTTATGTATGTTAATTATTTTTACCTTTGTGGATCGTCTCATTTCCAATTACAATTCTTTTGTGAACAGAGAAGATTCGAGAAACCCCAAGTTTTGGTCAAAGGTGTGCTTACATAACATGGCGAAGTTAGCTAAGGAGGCAACAACTGTACGGCGTGTTCTGGAGTCCCTGTTCCGTTATTTTGATAATGCTGATCTTTGGTCTCGTGAACACGGAGTTGCCCTCGTTGTTTTGCTTGACATGCAATCTATTATGGAAAATTCTGGTGTTTGATCTTTCTTTAACCTCAGTGATTACCCTTTTTTCTTTTAATTCTTGGGGGTTAAGCAGCATATATGTCACCTTAACGCCTTGGACTCACTCCATTCATTTCCTTAAAATGCAGGGCAGAACACACACTTCTTGCTGTCTACTTTGATCAAGCACCTTGATCACAAGAATGTCCTTAAAAATCCAAATATGCAGATAGAAATTGTTGAAGTTGCCAGCTCCCTTTCTAAGGCAACAAAGGCTCAGCCATCTCTGACGATAGTTGGTGCGTTTAGTGATATGATGAGACATCTCCGCAAGAGCATACTCTGTTCAGTTGATGACTCGGAACTTGGGGAAGAAGTAATTCAATGGAACAGAAAGTTTTACACAGCAGTTGATGAATGCCTTGTACAGATGTCCCAGAAGGTGAAGTTCATGCTTTTATCTTCGAAAGTCTAAATTTATGTAATTTCACTTCTCAAGGTCACCAAAAACATGCACTATGCCCTATTTACCTTTGTTCTAAATGAGGTTATCAGTTTTGAGGATTTTGTTTAGTGAGATCCTCAGAAACATCGTCCTAGATGAGACAACATTGCCTGACAAGAAGGGAGATGAAAATTTTAATATAGTGCCTAATTTTACATGAGTGTAGACAATGTAAACTGTGATCCCTTTGAAAAACAGGTAGGAGATGCTGGTCCTATTCTTGATGTGATGGCAGTGATGCTGGAAACAATTTCAAATGTAACAGTTATGGTGAGAAATACAATGGCTGCTGTTTATCGAACTGCTCAGATAATTGCATCCTTACCAAATCTTTCATATAAAAACAAGGCAAGCAGGACTCTATTCTTGGCATCTTTATTTTCTCTTAGTGATGCTCTTGACTGGCTGATTGTCAAATTTCTTGTTCTCATTTTTTCCTGTTACCTTTCAGGCTTTCCCTGAGGCATTATTCCATCAAATTCTTTTAGCTATGGTCTCCCCGGACCATGAAACAAGACTTGTGGCACATCGTGTCTTTTCTGTTGTACTTGTCCCATCTTCAGTTTGCCCCCGTCCTACCTCTGTCCATCCACGGTCAACAAAGGCTTCTGGTATTCAGAGGACCCTATCTAGAACCGTTTCAGTGTTTTCTTCTTCAGCTGCGCTTTTTGATAAATTAAAAAAAGAACAATCTCCCTCTCATGACAATGTGGCTGGAAAGGAAAAAACATTCAATGCTAAATCAATGGTGAAAAACCAATCCATGTTGAAAAGATTAACATCAACCTATAGTCGAGCTTATACTGTGAAAAGGAATTCGTTACCAGGAACTGATGAAGGAAAAGAGATTGGTAACACGGAAGAGGAGCAGGTAGGCATTTCAATTCAAACAGTTTTTACCTTTGGTTGGAGAAACTAATGCCCACAAGATTATGCTTTCTTGGCTGCTGCTTACCGCAGTTCATTTTGTTTCAGGATGGAATTTCTCTCAAGCTGAAAATTCGACAGATCAGCCTCTTGCTGTCTTCACTGTGGGTGCAGGCAATCTCTCCTGCAAATACTCCAGAGAATTATGAATCAATTGCTCATACTTACAGCTTGGTGGTGTTATTTTCACAAACAAAGGTGGTGATGCTTTTCTTGGTAGCAGATATTAATCTGCATCACTAATATATTTTCCAACGTCCATCTTAATCTGCAATATTTGTCTTTGTGTAGAACTTGAGCATGAGGTTAAGAGTATATGTTATTGGATTATGCTATATAATGAATTGAAAGCTGCTCTAGAATGGAAAAACTAAGTGTCTCTTCCTTTTTCCTAAATTGCTACACCTCTCTTGTTATCAATCAATTTCATCTTGTTAAGTTTAACTTGTCTCTAGATGCTGACTTTGCATCAGAAAGATAAACTTTGTATTTGCTTATTAACATTTCTAATAAGTTAGACTAGGCTGTTGTTGATAACTTGCTTGTATTTCGTCTTCCAGAAATCCAGCCATGAGGCTCTTATTCGAAGTTTCCAGCTAGCATTTTCTTTGAGGAACATTTCTATTGGAGGGAAAGGTATAACACAGTGGTTTGTATCTGAGTTTGACAAGTTCTTTATATTCCTTTTATCCTTATAAAAGAGCATGTTATCTAGATGTTTTATAAATGCCTGCATATGATCTGATATACTTCTAATCTATGCTGTATTGACGAAACCATGATATGTTATTCCTTAGTAACACACCTGCTCTGCCTCTTGCCATCATTATTGTGTTTGCAGGATCTCTACCACCATCACGTCGCAGGTCACTCTTTATGTTGGCGACATCCATGATTATTTTCCTATCTAAAGCCTACAACTTTATCCCAGTTGTTGCTTGTGCTAAAGCTGCATTGACAGATAAAACAGTAAGGACAAGCCTCAGTCATGTTTTGTTCAATGTGCTCATTTTGCAAATATTTTACACAATACTTTCTGTGCAAAGTTGTCTAGTCTAATTCGATGTTCAATACCTTCAACAGGTTGATCCTTTTCTTCAGCTGGTAGATGACTGTAAACTGCAAGCTGTAACTGGTAATACAGAGCAGGCAGTCAAAGTTTATGGTTCGAAAGAGGATGACGATGATGCCCTGAAATCACTTTCAGCAATACAACTATCTAGTAACCAAACTACAGAATATTTTGCTTCAATAATAGTGGAGAGCTTGAGGAATTCTTATAAAGTAAGCATCATATCTGTTCTCATTGTGATTCAATGATAACTTACGCAATGCCGAATGCATTTTGACATTTGACTTATGCGCAGAATAAGACTGCTGCTATAAAGGATCAGTTGCTTAAAGATTTCCTTCCTGATGACGTTTGTCCTTTGGGAGCTCAGCTAGTCTCAGAAACCTCAGGACAGATCTACCAATTCGGTTCAGAGGATGATAAAAGTCTGGACGAGGTAGTTGGAGCCACTGCTTCTAACTCTTTATTTCTTTTTATCCAATACTCACCATTATCTTATATCCTGTTTTCTACCAGCAGGTTGGGGACCCGACGCTGCCCATCTTAGAGGATGGCGTACCAACTGAGAATAAGAATATATCTAACTCACACCTTACTCTGCAAATTCCAGACCTCTTAACTGTCACTCAGTTCCTCGATTCAGTAAGTTTCTGCTTGCATACCTTCCATTCGTTCCATGCACACAGTAACCACGGCATTGCGTAAGGAAGAGTTGGCTGTCGTAATTCTTGCTAGGAACTTCTGAAAGATGTCCTGGCAGTTCTTTTGTAGACTCTCCTTTTTTCTTGTTACTCGTTCTCCAGAAGGTCGCACAGGAGAAGTGAAGGTTCTCTGAAATAAACTTATGAAGCCACCAAAAAAACGTTTTGGGTTTTTTTCTGGTCAGTTTCTGTGGAAGAAAAAGAGATCTGAAACTTTAGGCTTTATGATCTCTTGAATGAGGAATATTATTCGTAGGGTTGGAGGGGTGAAAGACAAGGTATGTGAAGAATCTTAACATTCAACCGAAAACCTTAAGGCAATGGGTGGAATGAACAAGATATTATAACCCCGTGGAAATCCCTACACAGTCAATGAGGGACAAGTGTATTCTCTAACCCTCTAATATCATGTTAAGAAAATGAATTTTGGGCCCAACTCAACCTTTTTTGTTGATAAAGTAATAAGATTTCATTAATGAAAGGCATAAATACCCGTATACAAGAAATATACCAAAAAAGTAGAGAAGCTTCACAAAAAACTGGGTCTAACTCAATCTTAAAAGCTAGTTCATGAAATGAATGTTATAAAATCTAATAGAGGCGAATTGATGTTGATCCTTCTTAGAGGGAAGCAGGTGGAGTGATTATTCCATGTTTGATCTGAACTTAAGGTAAAACTGAAAGAGTGTTGATATATACTGAATCAAATGATGAAGTCTTCTAAAGAATTTGGCAATTTTGTATTTTGGTATGGAAGAAGTACAGGAAATACAGAATTTCAATGCTTTCATCCAGGGCCAAAATTCCAATCTGGTGGTAATATTAATAGAACGGCAAAAGGGCCTGGTAATGGCAAAGATTATTTTTGTCATTTCTTTCCCACATATAATTTCGAATTACATCAATGGTTTCAAGTGGAGGTGACCGGAATAATTACTTTATAGGGTTTTTTTTGGGGGCCCTATAAAAAAACGGGAGGTTTCATCAGAAATAGGGGTGGTTGCTCAGCAGAGGTTTGTAGGAAAGGCCCTTTGGTTATGGTTATTTATTTTTCGATCGCGTATGGTTGTAATTTTAATTACTGCGATAATATCATGTATGGCAAGGCTCTTGCCCTAGACATAGTTTTAACTTTTCTAAATCATTTACCCGAAACTTATGCAGGTATCAGATACAACACTGCAAGTAGGAAGACTCTCTGTCTCAACTTCTGATATGACATACAAGGACATGGCAGGCCATTGTGAGGCCCTTCAAGCAGGGAAGCAGGAAAAGATGTCACATTTAATGATTGCCCAAGCGTCTCGAGAAAATCCTTTTGACTTTTATGGACAGGACTATATCCAGGCAAATATGAAGCCGTCTTACAGCTGCGTTGATATGAAATCTACTCCAGTAAGTATAAAAGAAATGTGTCCATCTTATAGTTTTGAGCATCATTTTCAGTGCATGAGACTGGGAAGAGATGTAGTTTTAAACCCTGCATATTATGGAGAGTGTTGCAAGCATACTACTTTGCTATTACAGGGAGGGAATAGCGTTTACCCAATTTTCCTTTCAACAAGATTCCATTTTGCACTGTTATAAAAAGAAACCTTTAGGTTGGTAGGCTTCAAAGTCGTATTGTAGAGGCCTACTAAGAAGCAACTTCACATGCAGCAGTAATAACTAAGAAGCAGCTTCACATGCTGTAATAACATTATATTGAAGTGATGGAATCATGATATCATAGATGTTTTCAAGGGAAAAAAGGAAAAAGAAGAGAAGCTCACCATTAAGTATGGTCCCCGGTTTTCTTCCATAAATTGCAATCTAAAGACAATGGAAGCTCAAACTACTCCCCTCCCCCAACACAATCAAGTGCATTAACATACCATGCGCAATTGAGCAAGAAGGAAACTTAGGATAATCACATCAAAATTAAGGTGGCATCGATACTTTTAGAAAGGAGAGTTTTGTCCTATCACAACCATGTAACATGCTAGAGCTACACCATCTTATATTAGATAATCATTAGTGCTGTCTAATTTCATTGGAAGATAATTTGAAAGAGCCTTGAAAATGCTGGTGGCGAACAAGGGTATGTGTGAAACAGGTGCCCAATTTCCCTGGTGCTAGAGAGACCGGTCAATGTGATTCATTACAAATATGATCTCATGTTTTCCTTGTAAGTGTGCACTACAGTATTCAGACTGGAGATCACATTTCTTGTCTAGTAGCTTCTCTACAAGCATGCATGAAATAATGGCTTTACGTGCTACAAATATAAATTATGTGTATGCTTTAATTTCTATCCTATAGTTTCAACACTGAAACTCATGTATGTTGCAGGTTCACGTCAAACATGGCTCTGACTCCAATTTGTCGAATCCCTTTATCAATGTCACTCCAACGCCATGTGCAACTGAATCCCAGTGTCATCCCAACTTCTTTGCACTACCTGCTTCAAGTCCATATGACAACTTTTTGAAGGCAGCTGGAAGTTAATGTCATCAGTTCAAGAGTTTGAGAGGTAGCAAAAGCTTGAAGAATCTCACTTTTGTCTAAATTTTTGCATCACTCTACTGCTAATATAGATTGCAAACAATTTTGGGGTCTGCTCATTGGAACATATTCTGATTTCTTTCTTCTTGTATCGTTCTTCCTATCCATTTGATCCGAGAAAAGTTACTAAGATTCATAGAAATGAGGGAATTTTGTATAGAATATTTTAAAAAGAACGTAAGATTCTATATGTTGAGCTTAGGCTGGCAAATATCAACTCTATGCTATGTATATATGATCTTTATAACTACAATTCATCAATGAAGGCATTACTTTTCTTTCCTGGTTTACTTCTTTCTGTACTTAAGTTTTATAGCAAAATGTGCAGAATGATTAGTCTGGTTTCATGAGCTTCTCACTTTTTCTTCCCCTTTTCTCGAGGGTGGACATAGTGAAATTTTGGTGATTTTTCTTCTCTTTTATACCTATATATTTATATAATATATTATATACATATACACGTATGAACACACGAAGCTCAAAGTAACATATTGATAGACACATATAACCATGTATTGTTGATGACTTTTATAGCCTTTAAGAATTAAATTCTTCCATCAACATTAATGTTCAAAAACCTAAAAGCATTTTATAATAAGTATCGATTACTATGATATAGAAAATAACAAATTTGTTATCGCATTGTCCAAGAACCCAGTACTACATGAAAGGGATAAGCGCATCGAAAAAAAATATACTATTTGATTAGATCGCTTCACAAGGAAGTGGAGCTTGAGGTCGTAAAATTAATGGATATTCTTACCAAGACATTAAAGATTGATATTTTTTGGAAGATACGAAATTACAAATGTCTCTTAGTGTGATGAATCAATTCTAAAAAGGAGGAGTTGTTAAGATATTAAACTTCTTTCATACATCTTAATCTTGCAGTTCGTGAACTAAAATATTTAAATGTATGGTTTAAAAGATGCACGTAGCAGCATATAGTTTTGTCCACTTACGTCAAAGTTAAATTATATGATGTTAGATGACTTATAAATACTCATGTATCATAGACATTTCATCGCAGCGATTGTCATTTCCTCTCATTCTCTCCTAGCAAGTTTGAATATTTAACATCCTGCTCGATTTAACTGATTGAAAAGCTAAGTGATTTCTAAATGTTACGCCCCATATTTTCTTACGTAAAAGTATATCGTAAGTCAATTGATTTAAGCTCAGAAATAAGATCATCTTTGAAAGTACATAAAGTAAGTTAATAATATTACTTTGGAGGTTACAAATATTAAAGATCACGGATAACAAGTACCAGGGTTGGAAAGCTTAGAAGCTAAACGTATTGAAGAAAACAAGTTTCGTCGAAAGTCGACAAATTGAAAATGTTATAACGTGTACTTTTGGGATGAGACTAGGGTGCTTAACATGATAAGGAGGTTATGTTATGAGTTATTTTAGTCGTATGATAGTCATGTGTTATGTTTTGAAGTCAAGCGAGTTGTGGAACAAAAGTTGACAAAGGTCATCGCAAGTTACATTCATAAATATGCTAAAAATTAGGTCAAATGTAGTTGAGCTTTTCTCGCAATGTACTTTGAATTATGGGGTGATCCACCTACCAAATTGAAGATCTACAAGTCTAGTTTCTAATTCATTAAACCGTTTGTCGATACAACATCGCAATATAGAGATATTCCCATTTTTGCGAGACTGTGCAAGCAGCTCCCTTGGGACCCATAAAGTCGGTGTAAAACTCCGGCTTATATATAAGTCAATTCTAAGTCGTTTTAACTCATATTTCTCGACCAAAACAGTTCCTAAACCTTCCTAGATGCTCTCCAAGGGTTCCCTATGATCCTAGAGTGAATCCAAAGATAAACCACGCAAGTTCGATGAAAAGAATATCGTAATTACCATTAACTCCCTTTCCTTCTTGTTGTGACGATTTAGGAAGTTACTTGGTGTTGAAGTGAGTTAAAGAACGGATGGTTCTTGGTATATTTGAGGTAAGTTTCATCTTCCATAACCTAATTTTAAGTTTGTAGAAGTGTTGGGTTGAACTTTGTTGGAGGATTCTTGAAGAAACTAGTAACTATGAAACTTGAAGTTGAGCTATGTTGTGGGCTGTTTTTACATGTTTTAGGATACCAAATGGAATTGTAAAGGTATGGATATCATGGTGAGGATGAGGGAAAGTGAAGACGAAGATCATTGTGCTAGAATATGTTGAACTGGATCTATAAAAAACCCTATGAAGTTATGCACATAAGTTGTTTGATAAAATGACTAAATGAACTTCTTTATAGAATATGAAGTCGTTATTGATACCAATCCTTTGTATGATATAGATTACCATCCGTAAGAGGTGTGAGAACTTGTGCAACAGTTGTAACTTCGTTGATAGGATATGTTAACGCTATCCCTTCTTTCCTTTTGGCATAATCCATATGATACAACAAAACGAGCAAACATGCAACTTTCACAAATGACTCTATTCTTAGAAGTGCTAGGGTTGCCTATGTTCTTGATTCCCCATATGTCCTATTATCATATCGTCTGTTCATGGGTCTCAGAAAATACGTAAGCTGATAAAGTTTATTTGTGATATTAACCGAAGGCATATTGACCTTATGATATTCCGAGAGATCGTATTAACTTACTTCATTATGCATTGCATTTATTTATACATGTATATTGACCCATGACCAGATGACGTTATATACGCGTATATTATATGTATATGGGGTACGTGAAAAGGTTATGGCATTTTATACACACCACCACCTGATCAACTGGCATACATTAATGATTTCGCCCACTGGGGTCGAGATGATATGATGGGATGCTCTCAGAGGCTTGACGATGTTATGTACGCATATACCTATGCATGATATGACATTTATACGCATATGCATGACATTATAAATGTTTCATGATTCACAGAGCTATTCAGACTTACAGGTTGAGTCCTTTACTTCATATTTTTTTCATGTCTTTTATATACTAATTTTTATACCTTACATACTCGGTACATTATTCGTACTGATGTCCCTTTTGCTGGGGACGCTGCGTTTCATGCCTGCAGGTCCTGATAGACATGTGGATAGACCTTCCCAGTAGACTGAGTCAAATATCAGCTTGGTTGGTAAGCTCCGCGTCCTCGGAGTTACTAGGTCTAGACCTTGGAGTCCATTTTATATATACAAGTTTGATGGGTAGGTCGAGGCCCTGTCCCGACCTTGATACAGTTCAGTTATCTCTAGAGGCTTGTAGACGAGTCATGTATATTTTGTATATCAGTATTATGGCCTTGCCAGCCCTGTGTACATGTTAGTTTAGTATTGCTGGTTGTAGATATTCATGGTGTCCTCATCGGCCTTGNATTGTGGTTTATTGAAAATTAGTCGACTAACAATGATTTTAGTTGACTAAACACAATGCAGAATGAAAGATAACAGTAATTAAAAAGTAAATAATACATAATAATTTTATACTGGTTCGGTACTGTTGTGGTACTTATATCCAGTTTTCCTTGGGTCACAAGGGTTCCCTTTAGATATTGAAAGTATTACAATACATATGGTTTTGACTCGTTCTCCACCAAAGAAAAATGGCAACAGTGAATTCTTAATGTTTGACACAACTCTCTTTTGTGTTCTAATTCTTCCTATCTTTTGAGACACTGATAAACTAAGGATTACAGTGTTTAGACTAAGAAGTAGAGAGACTTAGAAGACAATGTGTGTAGTTGCGCAAGCCTTCCATTCGATCTTAACAGTCTTCTTATAGGAGAGAAAAGGGTCGTTGAGTCTTGACCGAAATTAGAGGCACGAGATCATCAAAGGGATTTGACCCAAGGGGTGCCTCTTCGAATCCTACTCTTGGGAGAGCCCAGATTCGATTGTGACTTTCCTTATCATATGCTTGTATTGAGGAGTTATTCAGGCCTTGATTGAGAGCTTATTTTTGGATACAGAATATTTGTTGGCGAAGGCTTCCTTGATTAGCAATCTGAACTCCTTTGATTTAGGTCTAATAAATGTGCTGCAATGAAGTCCATTTTTCTTGCCCATTAATTTATCAATCATATCTTTGGATAGCATCTCATTCTTTCCTTTTTGCTTGTTTCGAATCCTGCAATCCTGCAAACTAACATAAGATGGAATTGTCATCATTGAAACTTTAAAATTTAACAATCTCCGCTTTTTGATAATGACAATCAAGAGAGAGTAAACATAAAGTAAACATAAACTATGAGACTTCCCTTTTTTTATATGTTGCTCCCCCTGAATAATTGAATAAATATTGTCTCCCGATGTGCTGAGTTTCTCCTGCTGAGGTGTTTACTTCTCTACATATTTCTTCCCCTTTGACATCAATCAAAAAGGAAAGAAAAACGACCAGAATAAATAATATATGAAATAATATACATACTAGTTAGGGGATTAGAGCAGCAAAAGTAGTGCCTTCAGCAGAGGCTTAGCTAGTTCAGACCTAAGCAAACGATTGTTTTAAAAAAAAACCAACAAGCAAGCATAAGTAAAAAGCAACAAAAATTGTTTGTAACACCATCACATAGAGTCTCATTAACTTCTTCCTAGGAAGTACTTGAGAGTGTTGATCACTTTGGTGCAGAATGAGTCATAGGAATTTTCAACATCTTTGACAAGTTTGTCCATCTTTTCACTCATGGAATTGAAAGCCCTGGATCCTTGCCTCCGTGTGGCTCCCATATCCATCATGAGTTTAGCCACATCTGTACCTGTATCCTTGGTAACCTCCCTGATTTTGTCTACCTGTTCCTTCATCTCAACTAGTAGCAGTTTTACCGCATCTAGATAATGCTGAATTTGCTGAAGATTTTGAGAGGCAGTCGGCTGAGATGCTGGTTGTTCAGTTTGAACTTCAACTGGCACTGGAATACTTTCAACTTTGGCGCGCTTCACCCATCCATCATCACCCAGGGTGTAACCCATCATTGAGAAGGTTGTCTTATCATAAGTGCTGGTAATGTGCTTGGATGTAAAGGGTGCCAAATCTACCTTCATGACCTCGAGAACATGTGAGATGAGAAGACCATAGGGCAAACATGCATCAGAAGAAGATATATCCCTGATGCTTTCAAGCATGTATTGATGAATCCACACAAATCAATCAAGTCTTTTATTGTTAACGAGACAGTAAAGGACAAAAACATCTCTAGTGGACAAAGAGCTAAGGGACCCAGTTCTGGGAAGGAGAGTAGTAGAAATCATATGGGCCAAGACACGATGTTCAAACTTAAGATTCTTGGGACCAATGTCAGGAGGATTATCAGACAAAAAGGTTTTTG